CCGCGATTCCTTGTAATTAAACGATCCCTATCGGGGGAGGACCCAGATTTTTGTTGACAAGTTAAGTTTTCAATAAATCAAAAGAAAATTGTTGCCACCGGTACTTCTTGCACATTTTTGTAGATCGGTAACTTTATCAAGTTACCTTTTTTCCGGCAAACAGAGCAGACAGCTACGTCCGGGGTCCGAAATGCATGATGTGATTGTAGTTATCATCCAATGGGACGTTTGGAAATAAGAAAAAAAACCTTGGAAAAATGGCGCTGCATGTAGAGCCATACATACATAGCCTAATAAGTCTCTTTTATGTCTTCAATACATAACGTGGTCTTTACACGTTACGGACTTTTTTAAACAGTCTGTGTAGGTACCATGTATATTTTCTCTGTGAGCTTTATACAAAATAAACATATCTGATTTCACAAATTTGAGGTATGTTATCTTGCTTGGGAACTTCACCTGTCATTTATCTGTAAAAATTATAAAACATCATAAAAATGACCCTGCTCCCGCCACTAGATTAATCTATGTTGCTATTTTTTTTAAATTTGTTTGCTAGCATTACATTAACAAAAGAAATGGAGTGCTGTATGCATATAATTCAGAAAGATGGACCAATCACTCCTTTTACAGACACAGGATGGCAAAAATTTATTAAATCACTGTTTGAGTGGAAAGATTTATACACTGAAGAGAGTCTTATAGCTGAAGAGGCAGTGCGGAGATTTAACTTTCACAGCCAGGAACCTGCTGAATATGCTATACCAGCTAATGCTGGCTATCACAGGGACTGCTACATCCATTTTACTAATATAACAAAAATAGAATGAGCCCAGAAGAGATGAGAAAAGGAAGCTTTAATTCAAAAGGAAAATGGAACAGAACGTTGGTTTCAAACATGCAGTGTGAAACTGTAAATGTGGATCTTGAACTTAAAATCTGAATCTTGAATGCTGAATCTGTGAACAAAGAAAAGAAAATTATGAGCTACAATGACATCCTCTCACATGATCAGGTTCTGACAACTCAAGTTTATTGTGTGTAATTCACTGTTCAGACATAAGCTTTGTATTTCACTCTACTTAAATGAGCAAAACCCTAGTCAAAATCTATTCGATAAATCAGATCACTGCCTTCTCACCCACTTGATTCCATCACAGGAGGGAGTCATTTGCCCATCTAGCTGCAGTGAACACTGATGAGATGAAGAAAAGTGCTAACTTAAGTTAAGCTCATTCACATTACTTCTGAAGTCCAATAAAGTGCTCAGTAACATTCACAAACTACATTAATTAAAAACAGCAAGGGGAAAACACACAGTTATTTCCATTTAATCTCAGATAAGGTGACCAGATTTCTGAAATGAAAAGCAGGGACATTTCAAGTTCAGAGTACAGAAGTCATTAAATATTATTATGAAATAAAAAATGGGGGCAATTGCGGTTTCATGTATTTTGACAACTTTCAAAGAATGCAATGGACCACCGTGTCATTGTCTATGGGCGTAAATGTTTTGTTTTTTATTTTCTTGTCATTAAAAGGACATTTCTTTTCCTCCTGCTTCCTTTTACTCTTCTATCAGTAATCTTTCTCTCCTAAAGCAGAGCCACATCATAATATATTGTAATAGCTATCACATGGTAATGTTCACAATTCACTATAATACTGCCACACCAACAACAGTATATGTTACTGTCAATGAAATAAGTCTTCAGTCCGCTCCAACTCTGACTTATTTCTTCTTTTGCCCTCATAAAATAGCTTCTGTCTTCTGTCTGTGGAGTAAATGAGTAAAAATATGGACAGCGCCACTCTGCCAATGCAACCCACATAGCGGTCACAGGTATTACTGCATCAGTCTGTGCGCAACCAGAATCAGAGCTGTGGCGTCTATTTCACTTGTGTTAATCCACAGTTGAAATTGGGGACATTTCCGGGGACAGTTCTAGCTCGGGACAGGTCAGCCAAATTGGGGGATGTCTGGTCACCCTAATCTCAGATGATCTACTGAAATAACACAAAAGTAAAATCCCAACATTTTTATACAACTGCTATTTTCACCCCAAGTGAGGTAGGACAGAATAGTATGGGACCTGTTTAAGAAAAATATGCAAGCATTAGTACTCCCTATTTCGGACACACAAGTACTAAGCCAACTATTAACAGTAGGTAACTTTGGCTGCGACACGCAGCTTCGAAAACTGAAACTTAACCATGCACGTTTATGCGTCACACAAAACAGCAATTTTAGTAAAACCGGGTCATATTTTATGGAGAAAACGTCCTCTGGTTTCCCCTCTGATGTCCTAGACTGCTTGGCCTCAACTCTGTGATTCACAGAGGTTCCTGAAAGCAACATGTAGGCTGCCTGCAGACTGAAGCTGCAGCTGCAGCAGTGGGTAGTTGGGGACAGCTCTGCTAAATAAAAGGCTGCAGACAGACAGAGCAGTGGTAGGACATCAGAGGGAAAACCAGAGGACATTTTCTCCATAAAATATGACCTGGTTTTACTAAAATTACTAACAGTAGAAGTATAACTAATGATAACAGCAGCAGCAGGAGGCATCTGGCAGGACCACGGCAGCAGCACAACCACACACGTCACACAATCCAGGCACCGCTGCAGTACGAGTACAAAGGCACAAAGGCTCCGGAGAAGAAGCCGAGTTAGTGACATCCAGAATGGTTGAGTTAGCAAGATGCAGTAACAAGACACGAGAGAGAGAGAGAAAGAAGATGCCCGGTGTATTATAGGGGGTCCTCCGGCAGAGTAGGCCTAAGTCAGCCTAACTAGGGGCTGGTACAAGGCAAGCCTGAGCCAGCCCTAACTATAAGCTTTATCAAAGAGGAAAGTCTTAAGTCTAGTCTTAAATATGGAGACGGTGTCTGCCTCCTGGACCGCAACAGGAAGATGATTCCACAGGAGAGGAGCCTGATAGCTGAAGGCTCTGGCTCCTGATCTACTTTTGGAGATTTTAGGGACCACAAGTAACCCTGCATTCTCCGAGCGCAGAGTTCTGGTGGGATAATATGGCACTATGAGCTCTCTAAGATATGACGGAGCTTGACCATTTAGAGCTTTATAAGTTAACAGTAGGATTTTAAATTCAATTCTGGATTTTACAGGGAGCCAGTGCAGAGAAGCTAAAACAGGAGAAATATGATCTTGTTTCTTAGTTCCTGTTAGTACACGTGCTGCTGCATTCTGAATTAGCTGGAGAGTTTTTAAGGACTTACTAGAGCTACCTGATAATAGAGAGTTACNCGGTGGTGTTTGGGAATGGAGGGCTGTCCCCCGTCAGCTTCATGTGGAAGTTACTCTGTGTGGTAGCGGTGACAGTTTTATTTCAGTCCATAACAGAAATCCCCGCCTCGTTTGAGCTTCAGAAATGATTTTGGAAATATAGCTTGTGTGGACGCTACCACGCTAAGTGATCAATAAAAGAGCTTAACTACTGAGAAGTTACTTGATTCAGAAAACAGCGACGCTACCACCAAGCTACTGAGAAATGCAGTTAAACTACAAACGTCCGCTACTGTAGTGATGCTACTGCCCAACACTGGTTGTAACTTTATTAGTTACCCTATCAAGAATAATATAAAAACATTTTAGAATAAAGATTAGTTTGGAAGTTACAGAGACATGTTTTCTTTATACGAATGCCGTTACAGATGCAATATATAATAGGCCATGTAAGGTTAAATATAAATGAGGATTGTTCATGTACATATCAGACCCTCCATATAGATAGACACAGCTGCATTTTTTACATGCCACTTAGCAACAAGTGCGCTGTGATAACAAAATAAATAGCTGCAGGAAGTGCAGATTCTGTTATTTCATGTGCTATTAAATCAAATCAAATCAAACTTTATTTATATAGCACTTTTCATACATTAAAAATGCAACACAAAGTGCTTCACAAAATTAAAACAATGAAAAACCTGGCCCTCCCACCCCCCACATATAACACACACACACACGCACACACACAAAAAAAAATTTAAGGGCTATTAATACTGTCTGTAACTGCACAGACAAAACCATAGACCTAAAATTAAGATTAACCACTTCCGGTTTTTATGCCTCTGTGAACTAGGCGGTGGGCCGAAGCCGCCATTCCTTGTATTTAAACGATCCCTATCGGGGAAGGACCCAGATTTTTGTTAACAACTTCTTAAGTTTTCAATAAATCAAAAGAAAATTGTTGCCACCGGTACTTCTTGCACATTTTTGTAGATCGGTAACTTTATCACGTTACCTTTTTTCTGGCAAACAGAGCAGACAGCTACGTCCGGGGTCCGACATGCATGACGTGATTGTAGTTATCATCCAATGGAACGCTTGGAAAAAAGAAAAAAACCCTTGGAAAAATGGCGCTGCATGTAGAGCCACACATACATAGCCTAATAAGTCTCTTTTATGTCTTCAATACATAACGTGGTCTTTACACGTTACTGACTTTTTTTTAACAGTGTAGGTACCATGTATATTTTCTCTGTGAGCTTTATACAAAATAAACATATCTGATTTCACAAATTTGAGGTCTGTTATCTTGCTTGGGAACTTCACCTGTCATTTATCTGTCAAAATGATGAAATGTCATAAAAATGACCCTCCTCCCGCCACTATATTAATCTTTGTTGCTATTTTTTTATTTGTTTGCTAGCATTACATTAGCATAAGAAATGGAGTGCTGTATGCATATAATTCAGAAAGATGGACCAATCACTCCTTTTACAGACACAGGATGGCAAAAATTTATTAAATCAGTGTTTGAGTGGAAAGATTTAGGGACTGAAGAGAGTCTTATAGCTGAAGAGGCAGTGCGGAGATTTAACTTTAACAGCCAGTAACCTGCTGAATATGCTATACCAGCTAATGCTGGCTGTCACAGGGACTGCTACATCCATTTTACTAATATAACAAAAATAAAACGAGCCCAGAAAGAAGAGAAAAGGAAGCTTTAATTCAAAAAGAAAATGGAACAGAACGTTGCTATCAAACATGCAGTGTGAAACTGTAAATGTGGATCTTGAACTTCAAATCTGAATCTTGAATGCTGAATCTGTGAACAAAGAAAAGAAATTAGGAGCTACAATGACATCCTCTCACATGATCAGGTTCTGACAACTCAAGTTTATTGTGCGTAATTCACTGTTCAGACATAAGCTTTGTATTTCACTCTACTCAAATGAGCAAAACCCTAGTCAAAATCTATTGATAAATCAGATCACTGCATTCTCATCCACTTGATTCCATCACAGGAGGGAGTCATTTGCCCATCTAGCTGCAGTGAACACTGTTGAGATGAAGAAAGGTGCTAACTTAAATTAAGCCCCTCACTCATTCACATTACTTTTGAAGTCCAATAAAGTGCTCAGTAACATTCACAAACTACATTAATTAAAAACAGCAAGGGGAAAACACGCAGTTGCTATTTCCATTTAATCTCAGATAAGGTGACCAGATTTCTGAAATGAAAAGCAGGGACATTTCAAGTTCAGAGTACAGAAGTCATTAAATATTATTATGAAATAAATACATATGTATTTTCATGTATTTTGACAACTTTCAAAGAATGCAATGGACCACCGTGTCATTGTGGTCTACAGGCGTAAATGTTTTGTTTTTTATTTTCTTGTCATTAAAAGGACATTTCTTTTCCTCCTGCTTCCTTTTACTCTTCTATCAGTAATCTTCCTCTCCTAAAACAGAGCCACATCATAATATATTGTAATAGCTATCACATGGTAATGTTCACAATTCACTATAATACAGCCACACCAACAACAGTATATGTTACTGTCAGTGAAATAAGTCTTCAGTCCGCTCCAACTCTGACTTATTTCTTCTTTTGCCCTCATAAAATAGCTTCTGTCTTCTGTCTGTGGAGTAAATGAGTAAAAATATGGACAGCGCCACTCTGCCAATGCAACCCACATAGCGGTCACAGGTATTACTGCATCAGTCTGTGCGCAACCAGAATCAGAGCTGTGGCGTCTATTTCACTTGTGTTTTTTTAATCCACAGTTGAAATTGGGGACATTTCTGGGGACAGCTCTAGCTCGGGACAGGTCAGCCAAACTGGGGATGTCTGGTCACCCTAATCTCAGATGATCTACTGAAATAACACAAAAGTAAAATCCCAACATTTTTATACAACTGCTATTTTCACCCCAAGTGAGGTAGGACAGAATAGTATGGGACCTGTTTAAGAAAAATATGCAAGCATTAGTACTCCCTATTTCGGACACACAAGTACTAAGCCAACTATTAACAGTAGGTAACTTTGGCTGCGACACGCAGCTTCGAAAACTGAAACTTAACCATGCACGTTTATGCGTCACACAAAACAGCAATTTTAGTAAAACCGGGTCATATTTTATGGAGAAAACGTCCTCTGGTTTCCCCTCTGATGTCCTAGACTGCTTGGCCTCAACTCTGTGATTCACAGAGGTTCCTGAAAGCAACATGTAGGCTGCCTGCAGACTGAAGCTGCAGCTGCAGCAGTGGGTAGTTGGGGACAGCTCTGCTAAATAAAAGGCTGCAGACAGACAGAGCAGTAATAGGACATCAGAGGGAAAACCAGAGGACATTTTATCCATAAAATATGACCTGGTTTTACTAAAATTACTAACAGTAGAAGTATAACTAATGATAACAGCAGCAGCAGGAGGCATCTGGCAGGACCACGGCAGCAGCACAACCACACACGTCACACAATCCAGGCACCGCTGCAGTACGAGTACAAAGGCACAAAGGCTCCGGAGAAGAAGCCGAGTTAGTGACATCCAGAATGGTTGAGTTAGCAAGATGCAGTAACAAGACACGAGAGAGAGAGAGAAAGAAGATGCCCGGTGTATTATAGGGGGTCCTCCGGCAGAGTAGGCCTAAGTCAGCCTAACTAGGGGCTGGTACAAGGCAAGCCTGAGCCAGCCCTAACTATAAGCTTTATCAAAGAGGAAAGTCTTAAGTCTAGTCTTAAATATGGAGACGGTGTCTGCCTCCTGGACCGCAACAGGAAGATGATTCCACAGGAGAGGAGCCTGATAGCTGAAGGCTCTGGCTCCTGATCTACTTTTGGAGATTTTAGGGACCACAAGTAACCCTGCATTCTCCGAGCGCAGAGTTCTGGTGGGATAATATGGCACTATGAGCTCTCTAAGATATGACGGAGCTTGACCATTTAGAGCTTTATAAGTTAACAGTAGGATTTTAAATTCAATTCTGGATTTTACAGGGAGCCAGTGCAGAGAAGCTAAAACAGGAGAAATATGATCTTGTTTCTTAGTTCCTGTTAGTACACATGCTGCTGCTACTCAGTGATGTTGGTCAGCAGATACTCTAATAAACGTGCAACAATCCCGGTTATTTCTACCACAAGGACTTAAGAGACCTAACGTAGCCCAATGAAAAATAAGATTTAAGCCACTTCAACTTCACTTTACCCGTAAAGTGCGTGAAGCTGCTAGCGAGCACTTTTTGCTAAAGCTAACGCTAACGATACTTTTACACTTGCAAAACGTCACCATACATTTGAACTCAATACTGTACAAAACACAAGTTGCAAGTCATGTGTTTGAACTCAATACTGTACAAGACAATGAAGTTACAAATGTGTTTTTAATAATATAATAACGTTACTAACTTGTCTCCGTCGTGTCCATCTGCTGATTCCTCCGTTGAATAGCTGGGCTCAGTGTAGCTAAATCCGAGGGCTAACGACAGCCCTCCCTCGAAATCTTAACGTTCTATTGGTCAAACTGTTATAGTAGACTGCAGCGTTTGCCTACATATTAAACACACGTTAAATTATAATTGTGGAAAAATGTGCAAGAATATCGAGTGGCAACAACACGGATCTGATGAAGAATAAAATAATCTTCACAATTTTACAAATCCAAGTTATCCCTGCACGGGGATCATTACTTTATAAAACTAATGCAGATACGCGGCTTCGGCCCACCGCCTATATGATGCTAAGAATGTAATCATCAGTTTAATTATATGAATCACTATTGGCTATTTGAAAAACCACAGCTTTTGTGTGTGTTGTTATGTGCGTCCAACTCGTTCTCATCCCAACTCATCACATATCGCCACTTGGTCTGTGCTGTCTCTTCTGCATTTGTTGATGTTGAAGCGCTTTGGGGTTGCATTTTTGATGTATGAAAGGCGCTATATAAATAAAGTTTGATTGATTGATTGATTGATTGATGACATTCGAGGATGGCATGTCAAGTTACACCGTGTAACAAAAGCACGTTGTTAGGTTAGGAATAAAACATCATGGTTTACACAGGCCTCCCAGTGAAAGTCTGCGGTTCAACCTGATCTCACAGAAATACGTGAAATGACCACAACCTCTTAATTATAAACCCTGACCCTATTTTATAGGCCTCTGCTCAAAAATTGCATATCCATAATGAAATGAATATATCTCTGCAACCACAAGGTCTATTTGAATACTTTTGGTATCATGGTAAAGGGAACACTTGTGAGATTTGTTAAGATGTGTAAATATCAGTATATGTGTTATATGTGAAGAGTAAATGAAGATGGCACACAGCACAAATGAAGTATTTTGAGGTTTGCCTAAAAAAAAAGCATTTTTAGGATGAGTATCAGCAGAGCAGCAGCTCTAAACCTCTATCACATCATAGTACCCACTAAGCATTTTTTGGTCTATTAGACGTTTAAAAGACATCTAAATGGTGCATAGTCGTCTAGGCTAAAAACGGTTAAAATTTGGTTCTAAAGTGAAAGTTTTTTAGCCATCTAAATTTCAACGTCTATATCTAGACATCATAACTGCATTTTTTTTTTTGGTCTATTAGACGTATAAAAGACATCTAGGCTAAAAACAGTTAAAATTTGGTTAAAAAGTGAAAGTTTTTTAGCTGAACATCTGAGATATGGTATAGACGTCTACCAAACTTTCACTTTTTAATCAAAGATAGCCCAGTTTTGGACTTATGAATTTAATAGCCCTCATCTAGACATTTAAATAACATCTAAGCATTTTAGATAATCTTTTGATTAAATATAATAAATGAATAATATTATTCACCAAAACCTCAAGTTCTGTGTAATGAAAGTCTACAATGTAAATTCATACCCATGCTCCCTCCAAGAAAGAATAAAAACGGTAACATTGTTCCTAAAATAATCCTTACCTTGTTGCATCTAATGTAGGCCATTCACAATCTTTTACTTACTTTAGTTGTCTTCTTTCTGGATCTTTATCAGGTTTCAGCATAAAGCTAATGTCATGCATTTCAGTTGTGTTCCACTGGATAGTAATAACTTTGTTATTTTTAATATTCTACTTTAAACCAATTATCCATTAACTGTCAGTGCAAAATGTAATTTCAATCAACACATTTTTCTATGTCAGATTTCAACATAATACAAACATACCAAAGCTTTATACAATCATTTTTTAATGAAGTGCAAATAAAGTGCTAGTCTATTGAAATGAACTGCCTGGAAAAAAAACACAACAAACTGCCATTTTAAAATTACCATATTTTGCAGACTATAAGTCGCACTTACTTTAGTCTGGTCCTGCGACTTATAGTCCGGTGCGACATATTTCAAAAATATGTGGTTTGCATCACATTCATACTGACTGACATGAACCAAGGAGTAAACATTACCGTCTTCAGCCACAGGGAGTGCTCTAACCTTGTGACAACTAAACACTGCTCCTGTACCACTGAAAAAATTAACAGAGAAATTAACTATTCAACCCGTTGTTCTTTATGCTATTGTGTAGCTGAATAACTGTTATGGCAATACCATGTAACTGTTGCCTTTCCAGATTAAACATCCATTCTTGGACTTGGATTCTTGTGAAATAAATGACAAAATAAATGCGATTTATAGTCCGGTGCAACTTCTAGTCCAGAAAATACGGTAATGTAAAACATCATTTTTTGAATACTTAATCACTTTAAAAAGCATGTACCTCTACCTTTGAGTACTCAAATACTTTTAAAAGCAAGAACTCCAGTACTCAACTACAAATTTTACTGAGTATCATTCATTTTTATTGAGTAATATTTGACCGGGAGTATGTGTACTTTTACTCAAGTACTGGGGTTGAGTACTTTGTCCACCACTGTGTAAATATTTGGGATTAAGATTTAAAGCATTTTATTTTTGTAAGTTACCATAGCTTGTCGGATGGGAGGGTCCTCCAGGTCTTCCGCCACCTTGCGAGACTGGTCCTCTCCATTTATAGGGACCTCAGGCAGCGTTCCACCCTCTTCTACGTTCCCGTTGTTACTGCGCTTCAGCTTGTCCAGGATCTCCACCAAGGTCTCCACCACAACCTTCTGAAATTCTGTTAACAAAAATAAAGTAATTTCACCCAATCACTTTAATCTATGCCATATATTAATATTTTCTCTTCAATTTGTTTCATCCCTTGAAATAACACTTCCATTCTTACTTTTCTCTGACAAATGAAATGCAAACTGTTTCTTCTTGGCTGTTGAAATGAAGAATGATAGAATAAAGGTTTGCAGAGAGGTTTGAAGTTTGCATCCATGTTTAAAGTGAAAAATGAAAAGTTCCTATAAGGAACTTTCATTTTGTGTTGAGTTTGGCAATCTCTTTGGACAAAAGCGGTAGTGTTTTAAATGAATTTTTGAATGAAGACTACATTTCCCATGAGCTCTAGGGCTCTAGCTCGCGACGTGTAGTTGTTTTGGGAAGTGTTTCACATAGACCGTCGCGGTGGGGGGGGGGGGGTGAATTACATGTCTTTATTACAAAGTCAACATATTTAGATCAAATTTAAAAAAAGATTGGACCTTGAGAATTACTGGCTCTCCTATGGCCTGACTTCATTTTGGAAATTTGAAGCTTCGCAGCTCAGGACGAATTTAATTCGAAGCCTTCAACAAGGGGAATTAAAAAATAAATAAATAAATAAATAATGGCGAAAACGTAGTTTCTTGCAGCACTAGAATTAAGATAAAATATTCACAAACGAAAAAACACTTCTGGTTGCTGATAAGTAATGTTTAACTTTTGATTGAACACTAAATGAAAACCCTCGGCGCACACTGCAGCGCAATCAGACAGACGCGCAAGAGCTTAAAGCCCTTTTCACACACAGCCCGCAAAGCGCAGACCTCCGCTGACGAACCCATTCATTGTGTATGTGCTACCGCAGCGCAAGAGCGCACCGCTCTGCCGCCGAGCTGAGCGGCGCGCGAGAGGGCGCATACCACAGCGTCTGCGCCCCTCCAGCCTGTGCTCGAATTGAACATTTTTTAATTTCACCGCAACGCGCTGTGACGACACCTCGGTAGACCCGGAAGCGGTCACAATGGAGCTGTAGCTCCTGAACGAGCCTGTACTCCCCCAAATCCTGTCTTGCGCGCCTTGCTCTCCGCTTGCTCTGCGCCCTACCCCGCGGTGGGCGCCACGAAAATCGCGCTCTGTGTGAAAGAGCCCAGATAGCACCTGACACTGTGCCGGATCTGGCTACAACTCGCCAGATTCCCATAGAAATCACGCCCGCTGAGCGTCATTGCACCAGATTTGGCCAAGACCATCAGACTGACAGTCCAAATGATAGGTTATGAGCTGTTCCGGGGCGGACTGTGTAGACCGCACGCGCCCACAATTTTGAAAGTTAACAGTCGACACGTGACGTCACAGCAGCGAGCACCTGCAGGCAGGCAGACAGACACCGGCGCTGCAGACGCTCAACAGGCATCAAATAGCAACACGCTGGATGGCAAATGATAATGGTAAGTGCTTTATTTGAAATAATACTTGCGCTATGAAGTGACTGCATGACTGTAGAAAGTTATTAAATCGAACACCAACTAGCACACGAACTTTGGTTACAATTGACATAACGTCTGTTAACGGTAGGCTACGTCTTTAGCTAACATTTGTATCTGCACTCGCCGGGCCGTCAACGTTATTTTTAGCACAGAGCATAAGCCACATGTTGGTAACTCGGCTGCCCAACGTTAGTGAATTCAATTTACAGTGAAAGCAACATTAGCATATCGGCTATAAAGCCTTATTCTTGGCGCACATGAAAAGATTTTCGAATTGTAACGCCGACGTAACCAATTTGCATAAGTGGGAGACACAGATATAATGACAAACTTGAGTTAATTTTTATCACAAAGGACGCGTGCACCAGGATTCACACACTTTATTTCACATAACTTCGACTTTGTCAAAAGAAATAGTGGGCGCAATGTTGTACCAATGTGGGCATTGCAGGATATGACGCACACGGAAGTCATTTGCCTGGTTTGTAGTCCGTTTGAGTGGATGTTAGTGTTGTCCTCTTCATGTCGGCTCACTAAGAAAACTACAATTAATGACAGCCCAGTGGGGTCAGCCACACAGTCTTCTTTGCTATTGGTTAACGCCCGGTCAGTCACAGTTCACCAGGTTTGTCTCGGCATGAAGCAGAAGACGTGAATATGCTTTGATATCTAGTTAAAGTTTTATTTCAGGCAGAATTCGTATTGCTTAGTTCCACGTTTTGGAATTAGTTGGACGTAAAGTCTCTTGTTAATCTCAAACTGTGCTACTACAAGGTAACTGCTACATGCTGAAGCTGCTGGTCAGTAGTTCATTGCTGTTAGTTTTGCGCTGCAAACTTTTGTTTTGTGTGTCTGAGGTTTTGCTTTGCTTCACTGATTCTTTCGTAGTGGTATTACTTGTTTAAAATGTAACGAGTTAACTATTGACGCAAACTTTACTCAAACTATATTATACATGTCTTTTAATACTAAAATACTACTTAATACTAAATACTATGTTTTAAATGATGCCTGTCTCAGTTGTTACTGTGAGGTGGTAAAACAGAATAATTCTGATAATGTAATGCTGAGGACAACTAACCCTTAGTTGAATGGCGAAACAAAATGACTTACAATGAAAATACATAGACCTATGTAACATATTTGTTTGGGAAAAGTCTTAATTTGAATTTGGTTAGTTGGTAACATACAGATAATCACTTACTGCCGTAACATAAAATGTCAGTTGAGGAAAAAACCAGAAACTAGTTGTCTGAACTCGATTCTACGTGATGTGCTCTAGATTAGTAGAACTTTAAACAATGCATACAATAGGATGAAGAAAATGTAACAATACTAAAATGACATATTCAGACCGACGGCTAATGTGTATTTTCTCCGAGCAAAAACCTGTAATATTAAACCACCTGTACAATGTACAAACTGAATTATTCTGTTAATGTATTTAAAGCAGATAACTTGAGTTTTACCCCTCATAGCGTAGAAGTAGAATTCATACAGAGACAAATGAGGTCACAGCAGATTAATCCAGACATGTAGTCCCAACCCATCATGCGCCAATTTACTACGACAGACATAAGGAAAAATGTCTGAGCAAAAGACTGGACTCAACACCTTAATTAGTTGGTTTCTGCTTAGTGTGGTTTGTGGGGGTCTACATGTAAAAATAGTTATTCTAAAATTACTCTAAACACTGCCACTATCTCTGTGCTGAGATATCTTTGTTCAGCCACATAGGAAAATGTAAATGGTTGTGCTGTAATTGGACAAATTATTTTATTTGTACAGTGAAATTCACCTTTAGCCAAATAAATGTTAACAGTAGCGGCACTATATTGTATGAAACACTGTTAATATTTTGCCTTTTCTCTCTCGGTAGATCTGTGATCAACAGCTGTTCCTGCGCTGATTGCTGAAGACGTAAGTAAAAGATGGAAGCAAGGGTTGTGTCTAACTCCACTCTGAGAAGGCGTGCACGAAGAGACCTTAAGAGAACACTACAGCAAATTAGTGAAGACTGCAGCACTAATTTGCCTTTAAATGCTGATGATCGTACTGGAGAAAGTGTGATGGAGGACATTTGCAGTGAAAATGCAGTAGCGCGGGACGACAGCAAAACAGATGTAGACATGGACACCAACATTTCTGACCGTGATATGGATGCAAACACTTTTGACCATGTGGATGCGGACATTTATGACCCTCCTCAGTGTAGTAGCTCAGATTCATCTGAATCTGACGATGAAGGTGTTGAGCCATGTAGCCTTCAAGACAGTATTTGTAGTTGGGCCCTAACTTTTGGAATTTCACTCATTGCTCTTACAGCACTATTAAGTATATTGAGATTTTACCACCCTGACTTACCAAAAGATGCAAGAACTATTCTAAAGACTAACACTCAGTACACTATTCAGAACAAGGTTGGGGGGCAGTATCACTATTTTGGCATACTGTCTTCTATCAAAAAGACACTTTCTCAGATCATCGACTCACTTGCTGATTGTTTTACCTTGAAGTTGCAGATAAATATTGATGGGTTACCCCTGTTTAAGAGCACAGGCATTCAACTTTGGCCTATTTTAGGACTGTTGGTCAGTGTTCCAATGAAAGAGCCTGTCATTATTGCTTTATTTTGTGGGCCTAACAAACCACGATCAGCTGATGAATTTCTAAAGGATTTTGTTGTTGAGCTACAAGAACTTGAAAACGGCTTTGATTTTAATGGAAAACGGCTTTTTCTGAATGTTGACTCTGTAATAAGTGATGCACCTGCAAAAGCATTTGTAAAGAACATAAAGCCACATAATGGATATTACGGTTGTGACAAATGTGTGCAGAAAGGACTGTATGTGAACAGACGCATGACTTTTCCTTTAACTGATAGCATGCTGAGGACGGATGAAGCTTTTGCACAGCAGGTTTACGAGGAGCATCAACATGGGCCAAATCCTTTTCATGGTTCAAATGTTGGCATGGTGTCACAGTTTCCAATGGACTATATGCATTTGGTTTGTTTGGGTGTTGTTAGGAAGTTGTTGCTAATGTGGCTCAGAGGTTCTCTCAATGTTCGTTTACCTGCAAATGTTGTAAACCAAATGTCTGATCGTATGAAAGAGCTGCGACCTCATATTCCTGTGGAATTTGCACGGAAACCACGATCGTTTAGAGAAATAGACCGGTGGAAGGCCACTGAATTAAGACAATTTCTATTGTATACTGGCCCTGTCCTTCTGTCTTCATATTTGGCAAGTAATATCTATAACAACTTCATGTTGTTGTCCACTACCATTGCTATTTTAATCAATGCAGACCTCTCAGTGTCCTACTGTCAATACGCTCAGACACTACTTAAAACTTTTGTATCACATTTTGGTGAGATATATGGCAAAGATGCTATTGTGTACAATGTGCATGGTTTAGTTCATCTTCCAATGGATGTACAGCAGTTTGGTTGTCTGGATCGCATTTCAGCATTTCCCTATGAAAACCAGCTCCAAAAGATAAAGAGACTAGTTAGAAAACCAGATCGCCCTCTTGCTCAGATCATTCGAAGACTGTCTGAACAAACTCCTTTTGGGTCTTCTGGTGCAAGTACTGTTGGGG